ATGTCATAGTAAGTTTGGTTTATTACACTATTTTGTAATCAAAAAATAAAGTTTGGTCGATGGCCGCGCGAAAAAAAAAAGACGCCACCTTCCATACAAAATCTGGCATTGCCATTAATAACGTATTACCTAATTAAGTTAGGATAGTCATCATACAAATTTGAACAATGAAAAAGCTAGATGAGTAAAGGAGTCACCTTACTGTAGTACAATAAGGTGTCATTATTACCCGACTGTTGTGTTTTTTCGAGTGTATGTATGTTTCGTATGCATAAATCACACAAATGCTACGCTTTACAATTGTTTTTAATGATTTACTAGTAATTTTGACTAACGATCTTTTGAGTTTTGACTGTAACAATTTGGATCAGCTAATAAAGTATAACTAGTAGGAAAAATATTTACGCTTAACATGGGAAAACATATAGGGTCAGTTGAGACTTATTGTACTAAAAAGCGTGAATGCACTTTTTTTTCGAAGTTTATTTTTATATTAAAAATAATTGGCTTTTAAAAACTGTATTATGTAAGAGCAAATTAAGTGGATGTTTACTGGAATAAAAAACTTCCTACTTGTAATCTTACTTACCTAACCTTTCTATTTTTGTACCAAGTACAATGACATAATTTCAAGCTATTATGAATAACAATGTTTAATCTATTTAGAATTTAGAATAATTATAGTTTGGTTTTCGTTTGTCCTTAATAATTCTATCCTATCTGCAGTATCATAAGGTCAACTAATTGACAGACTGCCCTATGGAATTAAGTCCGACATTTGTAGTTTTTTGAAACAATAATAATGATTCAATAAATACTTAAATAAAATCAAATTGGTTTCGGCTTTTCGTGTAAAGTAGACATTATTATGAAGTTTTATTTAAAACCGTCATAATATTTATTTTTAAATTCACTCTTATATCGGAAATGGTATCTTCTAGTTCGAAGATATCAAAACTTTTGCTTGCTTAAATAATAGTTTCATAAATTGTGTGCATTAAATTTTGAGGCCACGAAAAATCATTTTATTTCATTAAAAATACCATAATTCATTAAAAATATGTGAAGAAATGGTATATTACATATCAAATACCATAAAACATTAAATATTTAAGCCAAATTATCAATTTTCCCTTGCATAATACCTTACCTGGGTGTTCCGTTATGACCTATGAAAATCTATAAAATTATGTAAATTGTCCTTTATTACCTTGGTTTTGTAGTTTTGTAAAATAAAAATAGACTTACGCCCTGAGTAACTTGCCTAGGACGAATATTTGCGGGGCGTAAAGGTCTTTTTATTGTAATTTTGAGGGCGTAAAGGAAATCTATCTCAGTAAATACCTACTGCCCTAGTCCAGTTTTTCAATACTTCTTCGGAAAATGCTGTGAATTCTAAGCACTTTCTTCTTAGGTCATATTTTAATAGCTCAAAAAACAAAAAAGTTATTGTCGAATAAAAAAATAAAAAATCGTTTTTTGCTTCTCCTGAAAAGTCGTACTTTGTCCTTTACGACCTTTGAGCCCAGAGGTATCTTTATACACTCCGCGTTAAAAAAATAGCACCTTTCGCTTCAAACATTTTCAAGGTTCCTTCCCCACTTCTCATCAATATTGGTATCATTTGAAAACCCAGTTCTAAGCTTCATTCCATTAAAGGAAAGGTTGGTACCCCAAAAATGTGTCTTTAGAGGGATGGGTTGGAACTCAGTATGGGTTGTTTTTTAAAGCGACAGGTAGTTACGCTTGAGCCAACATGTATGGTTATAAAACTGTTAAGTTTGGATTAATCGCTATCCATATGTTAAAGAGGACACGTGAGATTATTGGTTTTTTAACCACAAAAATTGGTCTAAATGGTTCCTCTGGCCTGTGCTGTATTGGTCTAAGAGGTGAAGGGCAACATTGGTATCATGTGTTTTTCTTTATGTTTATTTATTGGGTTTTCAAATAACACCAATATTGGTGGAGCACCACGTTTGTGTTAAAGGACAATCTTTAAAGTTATTGTTGCGGGAGGTGCGATTTTTTTGACGCTGAGTGTAGCTAAAAAACAAATGGAATAATATCGCGGCTGTGGGACGGTTATCTCTGGCACTAATGGGTGTTTTGGTCTTTGTTACTTTCTAAAGGAAGCGAAGAATGGCGAAGAATATTAAACGATTTGTTCCTGGCTTAATATAGACCCGGATAAGGAAACTGGCCAGGAGCGAACTTTTCAAGTTTCCAGAGAACTTTATATTCGTATATTGTCATCGTGTTATTTGATTCCCATCCAATCAGATGATAATGAAATTGATAGATTCTTCAGTATCAAAAACTTATTATCTCAGATTATATTTATTATCCTAATGTTGCAACTATTGTAGATATTGTACACATATTACCATTGTTTTTACCTTGATTTCTATCTTGATTCAGGTTAAAAATATGAAATATTTTACCGCGCTCGCTGTATGGTAAGTGCTCAACTTTCTCTTTTTACGTACGAGTATATGATTAATTCAGGCTCAGGAAAGCGCTGGATGCAGGCTGCTACCAATCGATCAACGTGGAAAGCATTAGGGGAGGCCTATGTTCAGCAGTGGACGTCCTATGGCTAAAATGATGATGATGATGATGATATGATTAATTTATATAAAAAAAAGGATTCATGTTACATTTTGTCAGTTCTTAAATTAATAAATCTACCTATTGACTAGAAGATTTTTATCGGTATCTGACTAAAATATTTTTCAAGACAACACCTTCCTATTCCTGTTCTATAACCCACTTTGCTCCGGATATTCATAGTTCTCGGGGGACACTCCGAGGCGTATAGTATGACGGATTGACACCTCCTACTCCTCCAGATCTAATACTTCTTTGTAAAGGTTACCGTATGTAGAAATAGAGTTAAACGAGCTTTATACTTTGTAGATATCCAAAGACAAAATACAATCAGTATTAAAAAATTTAAGCTAGATTTAGATGATTTGGTTGCTCAAATTGTGACTTTTTCGAAATAAACTTTTATTGAAACAACTCTCATACCCAATCTAAACTTAGTTTAAACTCTCATGATTGCGGTTCTTGTTTTCCCCCAGTGAGATTCAAACTCATAACTGCATGTTCTCTGTAACTAAGATAAGATAGATAAAAGTGGGGGCCCGGTGACCTGTAACACAGGTATTCATTTACCTAGCTCAGGCTTCGGTCTTACACACTCATTAATGTGTTTTCTTTAAATGTATTTTATCCTGTATTTTGTGTGAGAAATAAATCATTATAATTAAATAAATCATTATTATAGATAAAGTAAGAAAGAAGAAAAGACAAGATAAGAGGCAAGGTTGACTGCGTATGTAGCCATTAATTAAGTGACCTTAAAAGTAGGTACAACATAACCTAACTGAAAACAAGCACCTTGACTGATTTAATAGCAAATGGACTAAGATGTGTCATATTTCAACGTTAATCGTACTTTTATGGAGTCAGGCGTAGAATTAACAACTAATTCAAATTCTTTATTAGTAGGTATGTAAGCCATTTTCAGGGCACTTAACAAGTCACAAATATAGCCTTCATTTTTTTTTGAAGGGACGCGCGCTGGTAGCTTGAATAGCTTTTCCAGCTTCACCGGGCAGAGTGGCGAGTACAGAAGGTACTCTAGCCGTTTGGCGATCGTCGGTGCGCGTGCCGACGAGGCCGAGTGTGGTATAGCCTTCATTACCACTAATTCTCGATACCATATCAACTGGTGCTGAGAAGAAGTTGCGGAAGAAATTCAGTCATGCAGCCAACCAAATTGACATCTCCTCAACCTCAGTTGCAAGGACGTAAAGGGGGAAAAGAGACAAAAGATCCGAGGGTCAAAAGTAGGTATGGAATATATTAGCTTAATCTCATTAATGTGAGGCAGGATGGGATGGGAGGAAAGTAATCCAGGGATTAGGATTAATGAAAACGAATAACTTCGTTAAAATTCATTAAAACAACCAGTTAATACAAAAGCAGATTACCTACATAAGATCCGATTAATTATTACCTAACAAGAACGAATTTTAAACTACGATTGTTAAAAGTAAACTCACGTACAATATTATCCCATAATATTACCGTTTTATTTCGAAAAGGTCATGAGATATTTTAAAGGTAAGTACCTACTGAAGATTTATTGAATCGTTTCCATCTCACCTTTACAAGTACGTTTTACTATTTACTTTTACGATCACTTTTTCATAAATGTAAATAAAGTTCATACTTCAAAATACGAGATACTTCTGCATCTATGTAATAAAACAATATAATTTTATGACAGCTTACTATAGAGTTACTACTCCCTAATATAACGAAAGTTTGAAAAGCTTATTTGACATTTATTCGAAAGTACCTAGGTATTTCATAAAATAAAATGATTTTGATATGAAATTTAAATTGCAAAACTTATGAAAGTGGCTAATGGACAAGAGTGCATTGAAGGTTTTCTTGAATTTTTAAGTTTGTTTTCTGTAAGTTATTCTTTCAGAATGGAAAATACATTATATTTTATTACAGTTCATTTAATAATTTCTATATTTTAATGAAAGGAAAACTAAATTATAGATATAAAATGTACTGCAACTTTAATTTGTGCGGGACAAGTAAATGATTGTATGATACTGATGATACTCATGTAAATCACGTAAACATTTATTTAATTTGAAGAAGCTGTCAAAAGAAAGCTTTTTAAATCTTCTAAGATCATTCACACACAGGCCCAAAACTTCCACTAAATCCGCGAACTGTAAACAGGAAGTCAAAAGCTCTCACCAACATAATTTTAAACTTACCAAAGCTTCTCAACAATGTGAGCCAGTACACAAGAACCGAAGAAGCTTCGAAACTTAGCTCCAAATATCCCGTATCAGTGACGTTTTTGGAAGTTTTCAAAAGCTGTGCTTTGTCAACTTTATTTGCGAAGTACATGCGCAGTGAGCGAGCTTGAGCTTTCGTAGTCCGTTCAGTTAGTTGCCCGCCGGTTCCCTCGCTCTACTGTCGTGCTAAAGCTCGCGACAGACCGTGTTATCCTTTATACATACGGCCGAGTGTTAATGTAAGCATAGAATTAGAGTAGCATGTCGATGTGTATAGAGAACTAAGACTAATTTCCCTTCAGTAGGTGTGCTGTTTTTTTCCGAGGGTAAGTAACTATTAGATGTGATTCCTAAGATTTTCAATGCATGGTTAGAAGTTAGAACTTCGCCTTAAGTGTGAATAGGCTGATAAGATGTCAAACTTAGTTTTAATTGAGTAATGTTAGTTATAGAGTTGAAAGGGGGGATTTTGTTGTGTTATTTAAGGTTTGTTGTTCAAGGAGATGGAAAAACTTGTCTGTTGTTGTTGTTAACTTAGAATGTTACTTATTTAGGTGTTTTTACTATGTTAGATGTTATGTATTGTCTTATAAATAAGTTAACATACTAAATTTTTAGTTTTAAAGAGTTACACTTAATAATAAGTCAACTACTTCTTAATTACGGTTTTCGGTATTTTAAACCAACCCGAAGGATTCATTCCACTTGACTTAAGTAATTATTATCCAAATTAGATTAGTAAAATTATAAAAGTTTTGTAACGTCCATGACGTCACGAGGCGGCCATTGCAATTACCTGGTTATCGTGACGTCAGAAGATATTAACAATCCTTTACACGCATATCATGTCGTATCCAATCATTTTAATACGAATTATAATTAAATTTGTATTACATATAAGTACAATGATATCGAGAGCGATCAATTGGAGCTATCAATCATTTAGATAGGCACTAACTACTAATTATTAATGGTTTATGACTATGTCGTTAGAGTTCAGATTACTATTCATAAAACATTAATGGAAACACTACACCAGCTAGCCGTGGACGACCTGGACGCCCTATGGCTGAGATGATGATGATGATGATAGCTTACAATTTGATCGCTCACACGACAATATCAAAAAGTTGACATTACTTTAACTAATTGTCTGAGTATATTAGTTCAAATATTTAAGTGAATATCAACAACAGTGTACGCGGCAAACCACCCATTTTATTACGCACTGGCGATTTAAAACAAAAAGAACATGTAGTTATTTCATAATGTTTCATTACCTACATAAACAATTCATAAAAATTATAAGAGACTTTTGGCGCGGTAATTAATTATAATTTTATGCACACACCATTAATTGTAATATTGCGTGAAAGGCTTATTATACATGTAAATAATGATTCTAGTCTACCATTTTATTCTCTTCAAATATTTATCTAAATAGAAATCTTTGTAGGGTTTCGTAAGCAAAGGGTATCAATCGAACCCTAAAAATATGCTTCCGTCGTCAATCTGTCACCGGACCATAAATAGCTCCTGAATAGCTAAATAGTATATCTACTGTTTTGTTTAAAGTTTATTTAAATCCTACATGGCCCATTATAAAATAGAGAGTCGGTGCTCCTGCAGTGAAGAACAAAAAACTAAAGACGATGATGATTAACAAAAAAATATTTTTGAACATATAGTCGCTGGAACTGTATATCACACTATTTATTGTTAGACGAAAGTGTGAGTGTATGTTTGTTTCTTCTTCAAGTCTAAACGGCTGGAGCGATTTTAATAAAATTTGGTATGGAGTTAGCTGACACCCTGGATTAACATAAAGGCTAAGTTTTACCGCAGGGCGCAACTAGTTTATTCATTAAAGCTGACTGAAACTGGGTAAAATTTGGTTTAGGAAGAAAGGTTTACTAGGAAACAAGTCTCAAAACTTGAGAACCCTTTTTAACCCTTAAAGCTTGAACTTAATCTTGAGCTATTAGTTGAATTCAAATATTAGACCTCACAGCCCTGCTGCTTTATTAAAATCCAGTTTTAAGCGCCAATAAGTAAAGCGGAATTGAGTTATGAAAATTTATTAACATCTTGAAGGTCTGCAAAAAGGTCTTAATCACAAACACTTTTAAATTAGGTAATTGGTGGTGTTCATACACCAAATTGGTGAAAAAAGTAACAAATAAAACATGGCACATCGAAAAAATTAGGTAGGTATTATACTTGTTTGTGACAGTAAAACGAACGAAAAATCGGGACTAAAACTAAATAATATAGAATTTGGGGTAGGGTTTTGATTAACGGTTAACTTTTTTACCAACTTCTTATAGGGTACATCTTTAATACAATGCGTAAATACACTTTGAATTTAAACATGATCAGTTCTGTCCTCAAAAGCCTTTAAATGTACGCCTGAGGCATGTCTCCAATGGTACCTACTTACACACCGCACATCTGAAGAGACCTCGCTTGTACGCAATGTGCGTACATTTCGCAATTAAATTAGGCGAATACGCAATGTAATTTAGCTACGAATGACATTCCAATCTGGTAGTCTGTTACTTAATTTTATTTGAACAGGCTTCCCTGATCAAATGTTTACAATTTCCAAACGCCCACAGCACGTTTTTGCAAATTCATTTACCGCTCAAATCTGAAAATATCCGCTTTCGAAAATGATTTTTAACAAGGTTGGTAATCATTTTCAACCTTTCATTTTAACCTTTTAAACCTTTCATTTTAACTTTATAAATACAAAATTTAATCAATCGTAGGTATATGGCATCAGTGTGATATTGGTTCAAAATTTTCTTAAGGTTCAATTTGGTTCTTACATGTAAAGATATCTTAAATTATGTTTAATTAGGCAGTAAAAATCTCTTTCATTTTCATTACTCACTTATAAGTTCGTTCGTTCGTTTCTGCCGAAAGACGTCCACTGCTGGACAAAGGCCTCCCCCAAGGATTTCCACAAAAACCGGTCGTAGTAAAAAATTTTGGCTGTGGGCTTTATTAATAAACTACAGGTATAACGTCCCGGTAGATCCCAGTTGTCCTATCCGTACAAAACACAAGTTAATTGCTGTTTCTTTGGTTACCTGATCCCTCAGTCAATTTGCCTTAACCCTCACGACCCTGGCAGTGTTGACTGAACTACGGTCAAGTGTCGGCAAACACACGCACACTATGTATTGGATCTTCATTTGTTTTGGTACCCTTCCAAATTGAGGAAAGGTTTGTTTTTTGAAGGCACAGCAATCGCATATTTACTCAACTTTTGTAACCATGAAGATGATATTGAAAATCTCCGAGATACGAGTCTATCCATCCTATTACCACAAGCTCTCTATACTGTTATTATTTTGATGATGTAGCTTTGGCTAGCCCCTACTCAGTGAATGAAAACAACAAGTCGTTAAAGAAGACATACGGCGTACATAGTCATGATTGAGATTTTTAAAAAGAAGAGCTTGGACTAAGTTTACCGGAATATCTATCTGCTAAAGCTACGACTTCCAAGTGCTTAGATACACTTAAAAGTGAATAAAACATCACGTCTGCGTCACTAACGCATTTTATTCTTCATCCTGTGAGCTAATACATCCGTTTCAATCCAGGATCCATCCGGCTCCATCCATTTGCCTCCATTTCAGTCCACGAATCGAGCGGCTATCGTTCCAGCCGGAAGTCGTACATACCGCCTTCTGGATCGAACCATACATTTGGATGTAAGCTCATTCGTATGCAAATGTAACATCAATACTGAAAAGCATTTCTATTAACGTTTTGAATGATAAATTGAAATTGAATTTTTCGTTTGGGTAAAACAAAATTCGAAATATGTTTCCTATACAATGTATGTGGCATACGTTATTGAATATGAAATATAATGCACATCAAATATGATGTTTATTTGATAAATAAACTGATCTGACATTTCTGAATTTATCGTCGATGAGTTTAAACATGTTCCTAATATAATCTAGATAGATATGTGTTATGTTTATTTGTACGTTTACATACAAATAATATATTTACGTTTTTATCACAGCTACCTATAAAATACCTTGCCTAATTTCATGGACATATTTATATGGACACAAAAAACGTCTTTATCTCTCTTAAGTTGTGAATGAGTACTGGGAAAATGTTACTACATCTTTTCGTAAATAAAAACATTATCTAGCGTAGTAATTTGGACAAATGCCATTTCAGTTTGTTCTGAAAGACTTGATATGGCCATTTCTTCTTTACATCTAGACATATCAGAATTAGTTAGTAGCGAGATGTACCTAACACATCAGTTAGGTCTAGCTAGACAGATTTTTTTGAAAGTTGTATTATAAATTAAAATACTGAGGGCATTCGTATCTTTGTGGTACTACTCGTACACTTCACGTGTGCATATCGACTGAAGGGGTAATTGAAAACTTAACAAGATAAAGGCAAAAATAAAAAGTTGTAGTTTGATTATGTAAAGTTGAATTATATGGAATTGGGAAAGAAGTACCGAGTTTAAAGCGTTCATGAGCAGACATTACAGTTGGATATTTAAGTTCTGAATTTTATTATTGATGAATAAAAAAATAAATCCTACTAACTCCATTGATGGTTTCATTTCAAACCGAATTGGGATGGAAAATATTTTTTTCCAGCTAAACTATCAATTTTAGAAAAAAACTTTTAATAACATTTATTAATCAAAATAAAGTAACCTATCGACCAGTAATTTAAAAAAATAAAAATAGTGAAAAATAAGTATCGCTATGTCCAAAAACCACATTTTCATAGGATTCGATGCAATGCGGAGACGCGGTTGGGGTGAGTGTAACTTAATGATTGTTTGTATTGAACATAATAATACATAATATGATGCTATTACCCAGTTTCTGGCCTGGTGTGGGGGGGGGGGCTTTAAGTCATACCCAGCTTATAGCCTGGGGGGAGGGGCAAGCCTTACCCAGCTTCTGACCTTGGTGGGAGGGGGGAGAGGCAAGTCATACCCAGACACTTTATTTGAATAAATCGCCAAATATACCACCGCGGAGACCCCAATCGCGTCTCTGCGTTCCATTGAATCGTATGAGCGTATGGATTTTTTGCGTTATTTTTGACAATTTCTATTTTTTAAAATTACCTATCGATAGCTTACTTTATTCTGATGAATAAATGTCATTACAAGTTTTTCTCTAAAACAGATAGTTTGGCTAGAAAAACATATTTTCTATCCACGCAGTACTCCGGCAGCGTTCGGATCGGATATAGTGACGTCATCGTCCCCGGGCCGGGCGGTCAGTGAACTTTTTTAGTAATTTGGCCATAACTTCGT